GCTAGCTGCTTGCGGAGACTGATGACCTTGACAAATGTCCAAATAATACTCTTAACAAATTTATGGTGGTCCTGAAAAGGACCGTTTTGTAGTGATGGTTGAGTAGTGCTGAGCTGAGCATGACGAGCTACTGATTCCGATCCTAACCTAGCGGTGGGACTTCTTCCTCTTTCTCTATGGTGCTCATATGAGCTCTGCAGGCAGCCTTTCGTTGTGTTGTTGTTGAAAGCACTCCTGCTGCTGCTGCTGCTACTACTGCTGCTGCTGGACTGGACATCACCACTTACGGTGATTGAATGAGCACCGTTCAGTGGGACCGCATCGAATTCGATTTTTATGTCTGTGTTAGGGAATGCGCTGTTTTCAGACATTCGGTGATAATTTTGATCACCATTGCAACAGTTGGACATTTGGTATTTTTAAATAGTGATCTATTGAAAATTAACTAAGCGTTCATTTTAGCAGATTGGTAGATAAATTTCCAATCGTTTGGCTTCTTTAGAATTAAAATCTATCTGCTATTGGTCGAAACCTGACCTCTTTTCGTAATGCTGTGCATTTTGGTTTTTTGAAATTGCGTGGATTCTATAGATCCTGTAGAGATCTATCTAGCCCTGATGTATGTGTTGGTAGAGGGAAAAATGTAAACTTTGCGGGAGACGATGTCTTAACACTCGAAAGCAATTTTGTGAAATATAAAGTAAAACAAATCCTAGCTAGTTCTGCATGATGATTTTGTTTGATTTTATTTATTTGTAAAGTCGCCGGGAAATACCGGCTGGCGATTTGTTTTTTATGATAACTCCTTACTTGAAAACAGGCAAAAACTCACAAACAGGCTGCTTTTTCATGGTATACAGTGTGATAATTCAATAATCAATAAATTATCTCAACATTTAGTGGCAAACCATTCATAAATTTTGGTAACATACAATAAATTCTATAATCCACATTAAATTTCATATGTAAGCGCCGATTGAAACAATCTTTTCGACGTCACTACAAGGGTGATAAATTAAACGAAAGTAACGAATCGTGCGGAATGAAAGCCGAGGAAAAACTAATTGCACCAATATATTCAGGCCTACAATTCCACACCTTCTATAGACAGGTTCAGCCTTGATAGCTAGCTGCTTGCGGGAACTGATGACCTTAGCCAATGTTCAAATAATTTTTTTTCCTTTGGTTTGTTTTCCGTCGATCTTGTTTTCCGTGGTGAGCACCAATGCTACCGACGCGCTAGGAAGGCAGCTCCCACACCTAGACCCTACCTATCGACCCATCAACTCATGAACCGGGGACCAACGGTTTTACTTCCCTTCCCCCGTGACCAGAGATGCTATGCTTCAGAACATCCCGGCGGCGCCGACTGGGATTGAATCCAGGCCTGCTGGGGTGAGAGGCACTCACGCTTACCACTACACCACCGGTGCCGTTAATGTCTAAATAATACTCTTTAACAAATTTTTGGTGGCCCTGAAAAGGACCGTTTTGTAGTGATGGTTGAGTAATTCTGAGCTGGTTGTTCAACACGGATGAGGCTGTCGAGCTGTATGTCGTTTGGATCGAGAATGACACGCTTGGCATAGATGGCCGACCCGCAGCGACTCACAATGAGCTACTGATTCCGATCCATAGCATAGCGGTGCAGCTTCTTCCTCCTTTGATGGTTGCTTATGTGGGCTCTGCAGCTCGCTGCTTGCAGGCAGCTTTTCGTTGTTACTGGAGAACAATTTTCAACGCAACACGCCGAAAGCACTGCTACTGCTGCTACTAATCGTTGGTAGCGTATGGTTCTGAGTATGGCGATGAGTGTGCAAAATATTACGCAATTCCATCCTCCCTATTCGCACGCGCCCGAGGATCGGAGGCGAATGCCACTTCGACTTGGAAGCAGCATATGCATGTAGGTAATTAGTGGATTTGTTAGTTAATTCGAAGCTTTTGGACAATGCTGGACATTTACCAGTTTTTCAATAGTTTCTTGTTGAAAATCAACATTGATGCGTAGCCATATTTCTGATCGATTGGTGATAAAATTATTGAAATTGAACCAGGGGCAGCTGAGTTATTAACGTTCAAAATCTTTCTTAATTTGTTACATGTTCCATTTTCGGTTTTCACAAAGTGTACCCCCATATAGAAATCAAAGACGTAGTCCTACGTCAAAAAAAAAACTGTCTACGTAGTAAATGACTATATTGACGACATATTAAAATTGGAACAGCCGATTATCTTTCAACGGCTTGGAAAACTTCTTCTTCTTTCATTTATTTAACGTCGGTCTCTGTTCCGCAATCTAGTGCCAATCACCGACGGATATCACACCCATTCAAACACACATGGGCCGGGACCAACGGCTTTACTTCCCCGAAGGAAGACGTGACCAGAGATTTTTATGCCTCAGACAAGGCCTCAGGGATTGAACCCAGACCCATTGGGGTAAGAAAGCAGTCACGCTTACCACTACACCACCGGCTCCGGCAAACTTGGAAAACTTCATTCCAATCGAGTAGAAGACATGTCAAGTGGCTGACAAGACGTCGCTCTAATTATAGCGAATTTGTTTATTATTCAGTTCCAACCTGATCATGACCGGCTCTGGTTGTTTTCCGACAAACGTCAGTTTGATCGTCTGTTTTTCTAGCTCAGGTTGAGGTTCGCACTGACAAAAAGTTCGGTTTCACACTGGGTTGGATCCTTGGTTGGAACTGGTTTCAACCCCGATAGTAAACAAATTCGCTATTAGAGTTCTCCAGATGCACAAAGGTGTGCGTGAGACCGTAGGAATCCTTTTTAAGTAGTTGTGATATCGCTGATATCGCGGGGTGCCTTCTTGATTGTTCTTATTTTTTTTCCTCTTTTGTTCGTGAGGCTGTGCTTGGAAATCTCTATAGGCACTAAGAACCTCATGCGTAAGATTATGAGTTTTGCCTTGCAAAATTCTACTCCGATTGATTTATATTTTGATTAATTGCTTTATATCTTGGCGTTCTCTATTGTTAAAACTGTTGTTTTTGCAGCAGTGGATGGAAAACTAATAAAATATACATGAGCATGCTATCAATTAATGTTTGAGCGGTTTTTATGAGTTGCAAGCTGGAATGATATTTTGGCGTTGTGAGTCTCAAGCGTGGGATTAGTTTCTCAGATTCGCACGCGAGTTTATTTTCTTAATAAGGTTCAATGAATGAGATGTAAGAATGATTTTCCGAGCACTGCCGCCGCGAATAAAAAAATATTCTAACGCGTTTTAATTTTTCTTAAAGTATAGAAAATAATATCAAAGATCTATAATCTATAAGTCTCTTGTTCCTCAAATCCTAGACAAATTAGTAGTGTAATATTTTTGTCTATAACTGCATAGTAAAAACATGGACCAAAAGACGTAGCTCTTCATTCTTCTTCTTATTCGCATTTTAAGCTTATTGCTTATTGCATATTTTAGCTTATTGCGTGATCTCAATTTAGTGTTCTAAGATGCACTTCCACAGTTATTAATTGAGAGCGAAGCCTGTACCATTTTTGCATTAGTATAATTGTGTGGCAAGTACAATCATACTCTATGCCCAGGGAAGTCGAGATATTTTCCAACCGGAAAAATTCCTAGATCGGACCGGGAATCGAACCCAGCCACCACCAGCATGGTATTGCTTTGTAGCTGCGCCTTTATCGACTGATCTAAGGGAGGCCCCTCATTCTGGACTATCCTTCATGCATTTAACGTGCAATGTCAATATTTATCAAATTCACGAATTGGGTTACTTTGACAATCTATTTTACTGGGGCAGAGCAATTGAACATTCGTGTGTTGTCAGTAACTGTTGACCCTCTCCTTCCCATAGTAGCACAGGTGATCCACAACATTTCGGTCCGTCTCATGTTTGTCAATCTATACCATTAAATTGTGATGCGGAGTCACTCGAAATGGTTGTCAAAAGAAATCCAACTGATGCTGTCGAAAAAATCCAGTGATCAGGGCCAACACCTTACGTCTTTTATACAGATTCGTTCGAAAGATAAAGTATTACGATCAACACTCACAATTTTATCCTTAAATTAAATGGTAAAGTAATGAAACAAGTATATCTTAAAGGCTGGCCAAATTTATTCATATCAATGAAAAAGTACGATTAGTTCTTTGCCATAATCACTAATGATTGTAAACATCCTCAACAAAGAAAACTTAAAAATCAAGGGAGGGAAAGCAGCCAAAGCATATACGACCGTTTAACTTGATATTGATCAGTTTCTTACCTCTAATCTAACTGAAAAATGATGTCCAGTTGATCAAAAGCAAATTTTTTTTACCTTTAATTTGGCGTTAAAATAATTAATATAGCTTTAGCAGCCGGAGATATCTGAAATTTCATTTTTTAGCTGTATCTAGAAAACTATCCTACTGAGATTTTTTCTGACTACATTTTTGGATTCAGCACACGATTTTACATGGGAAATGACCGCCAGCGTACAAAGTTCAAATATGCTGTAAACTAGTGTTATTAGATGGAATACATTTTCAGCGTTGTGAGTGTGAGTGCGTGAAAATTCATGAGAATCTCAAGCGTGAGATTTCTACTTCTTTTTTGCTTCATTATAGAGACTTTCAGTCCTGAGCTGTTTGGTCTCTTAGCATGCGATTTGTTTAGCAAATTCGCATGTGATCTTATTCGCTCAGGGGTCCTCAATGACTGAGATCAATGAGCACCTCTGAGCGAATAAGATCACATGCAGAATTGTTTTCCGAACACAGAATGTGACAAAAAACCTATTATTGAATTGGAAAAAATGAAATATCATTGGGATTTCGAAAGTCCATTAAAAATACCAATTTCATACAAGTGCTCTATCGTCTTGAGATGAGAGAAATATTTCTCTATTTGAATATATTCATTTGTTAATTTAAAAAAATGGCAGATCTACATCCATTTAATTTTTTTCTGCACCCATCTTAAGCTATCTTGTGACGGCAATCTTTCCCTTTTATACCACTTTCGCAGCTGCTGGTGCTGGGCCTGGCGAAAATGGTGTGCTTCCAAGGAGCTGAAACCGCGGACGATCTTTATCGGCCGCCCGTCGACGGAGAAATTCCCGCCGAACGAAATTCGCAACCAAAAATACAACTTCTTCTCTTTCCTACCGTTGGTGCTGTTCGAACAGTTCCGGTTCTTCTTAAATCTGTACTTCCTGATCATGGCTGTGAGTCAATTTATTCCGGATATTAGGATTGGTTACCTCTATACGTATTGGGGTCCGCTAGGATTTGTGCTTGCGGTTACGATCAGTCGAGAAGCAATCGACGACTTGCGACGGCACAAACGGGATCGGGAAGTCAATTCCCAGAAGTACAAACGATTTATCAGTGCTGACAAACCACCGGAACAGGTGTCATCCTCGAAGCTGAAGGTTGGCGATATCATCATAGTGGAGAAGGATGAACGCGTTCCGGCCGATTTGATACTGCTGCGAACTAGCGACAAAAGTGGCGCCGTTTTTGTACGAACGGATATGTTGGACGGTGAGTTACTCTTTCCTTCAGTGTACGTTTTTATAATGAATACCTATGTTTGGTCAATTACAGGTGAAACCGATTGGAAGCTGCGTTTGGCAGTGCCGGCTACTCAAAAACTTCCTTCCCACAACGATTTATTCAACATGGGTGCTTCGTTGTACGTTGAAAAACCCCAAAGAGACATTCATACTTTTATTGGAACGTACTCCAAGGTAGGTACGATTACGAGCCGTCGTTTTACAAATGAGTAAACCATGTTTTATTAAACCAGCTTGAAGGGTCCGAAGACGAAGGTCTTACTGTGGAAAATACTTTATGGGCTAACACGGTGGTTGCATCTGGAACGGCAGTGGGAATCGTCATCTACACAGGAGCAGAGACGCGGAGCGTAATGAACAACTCGCAACCCCGTTCGAAAGTTGGTTTACTAGATCTGGAAATTAACGGATTAACGAAAGTACTATTCTGCGCCGTCATTGGGCTGTCCTTTGCGATGATGTGTTTGAAAGGTTTCAACGGACCGTGGTATCGATACATGTTCCGATTCGTTCTGCTCTTTTCCTACATCATACCCATTAGCTTGCGGGTTAATTTGGACATGGGAAAAGCATTTTACTCTTGGCAGATACAAAATGACGAGGAAATCCAAGGAACTGTGGTTCGTTCGACAACGATCCCGGAGGAGCTTGGACGGATATCGTACTTGTTGACAGATAAAACCGGAACCTTGACTCAAAATGAAATGATCTTCAAAAAGATCCACGTAGGAACGGCAGCTTACGGGCGAGACACATTCTCGATGGTATCGGCAACAATGCAATCCGTATATAATACGATTTCAGTGCAAGGAGATGCATCGCCGGCTAAAAGTTCTAAATATCAACCACGGTTGAGAAAACCTGACGGTTGGCGTATTTGGGAATCCGTCAAAGCGCTTGCACTGTGCCACAATGTGACTCCCGCCTATGACAATGGCATTGGAGGCAATGTGTTAAATGGTTCAGATCGACGGAACTCACCTTCTCGATCGATTTCAGTGGAAGCCCAAGAATCGGTCAAGCTACCGGAGAAAACGTATCAAGCTTCCAGTCCAGATGAAATTGCCCTAGTCAAGTGGACAGAATCTGTAGGACTAACACTGGTCAATCGTGATCTAAACCATATGACACTTCAGGTAAGATATGCTGGATATGAGTCGTAGAACGTTATATGCTAACCCCGATGTTGTTTTGCTTTATTAGGTTCGTGAAAAGGAATCGCAACGCATTTCGATGAATGAGAATGCCTCAATTAACACGACCGTCACCAACCTGTCGGTTAACTCAAAAACGGATCTCAACTCACCTTCCAGTTCGGGAAGTGTCACCTCGCTGAATTCTCTCGCCGGCGGTATTATGAAGTACCAAATTCTTCAAACGTTCCCTTTCACCAGCGAGAACAAGCGAATGGGTATTATTGTGAAGGAACTGAATAGCGGAGAAATCACATTTTATCTCAAAGGTGCCGATGTTGTGATGGCAGCGATTGTTCAGTACAACGATTGGCTTTCAGAGGAAAGCGGCAATATGGCACGAGAAGGTCTTCGTACATTAGTCGTTGCCAAAAAGATTCTTACCGAGGAGCAATACAATGATTTCGAGACACGTTACAATGCAGCCAAGGTCAGTGTCACTGATCGCGTGACGAAGGTGTCCGCTGTAATCGAAAGTTTAGAACGAGAAATGGAATTGCTTTGCTTGACCGGTGTAGAAGATCGATTACAGGAAAGAGTAAGACCTACGTTGGAATTGCTACGTAATGCTGGCATCAAAATTTGGATGCTGACGGGAGACAAACTTGAGACGGCAACTTGCATTGCCAAAAGTTCCCACCTAGTTGGAAGGAACCAGAATATTCACGTGCTAAAAAGTGTCCTCACTCGAACCGACGCCCATTTGGAGTTGAATCAATTCCGGCGGAAGCAGGACTGCGCATTGGTAGTTTCAGGCGAAAGTCTTGAAATTTGCCTCCAATACTATCAACCAGAATTCATGGAACTGGCAACCGCGTGTCCAGCAGTGGTTTGCTGCCGGTGTAGTCCTACGCAGAAGGCCCAAGTTGTGTCACTAATTCAAAAGTATTCCGGAAAGCGAACGTGCGCTGTAGGTGATGGAGGTAACGATGTCAGTATGATCCAGCAAGCCGATGCCGGTATCGGTATAGAAGGACGCGAGGGTAAGCAAGCTTCCCTGGCCGGAGATTTCAGCATACCGCAGTTTTCACACATTGCCAAACTGTTGATCGTGCACGGCCGGAGGTCGTACAAGCGATCAGCCGCGCTATCGCAGTTTGTCATCCATCGAGGCTTGATTATATCAACCATGCAAGCCGTCTTCTCGGCCGTATTCTACCTATCCTCTGTGGCCTTATATCAGGGATTCCTGATGGTCGGTTATGCGACACTGTACACAATGTTCCCGGTATTTTCGCTCGTGTTGGATCAGGACATTAGCTCGAACATAGCGCTCACTTATCCCGAGCTGTACAAGGAACTGTCAAAGGGTAGGAGTTTGAGTTACAAAACGTTCTTCATGTGGGTGTTGATTAGTATTTATCAAGGTAAGACGCAGTTGTGATGTAGCGCGTTCCAGTGTTAGTGAAATTTGACTATCATTTCAGGCGGTGTGATAATGTACGGAGCGCTGATTTTGTTCGAGGACGAGTTCATACACATCGTAGCGATTAGTTTTTCTGCACTTATCCTGACCGAACTAATCATGGTGGCGCTAACTATCAGAACGTGGCACAAGTAAGCGAAATGTTTCATTTATTGCGAATATGTTTTTTTTTTGTCAAGTATGTTGGTTTTACAAACAAACGATCAAACTGAGATTTGTAAGAAAACAGGCAGACCCAATCTTGATACCAGGTATTAGAATTTGTATGGTGCATTTCATCTGAAAATTACGTTCATACCGGAATGTATGCCTGTGTGTGTGAGTGTGTTGCTGAGCAGTTGCATAGTAGTTTGAGAATTTTCTATATTTACGTCTACATTTACGCAAATTGGAATTATTTCGGTCATTCCCTGAAACTCAATTAAATGATCCATCCAAGCCTTAAAACTTCACCTAGTGTCCTTTTGTCTGTCCTTCCAAATAATAGCGATGACCACAACATTTCAGAGCATACATCTTTGTGCAACACGATTTTCTAGTACAGGAAAATTTAATAAATTTGCTCCTGAATTAATTTAGCGGGTTGATCAGACTAGCCAGTTACTCTGTAAAGACCTGTACAGTTTATCTGGATTCTAATGTAATTGGTTAACAGTTATCTGCCAACTCTTCCAAAAATCAGGAGACAGTAACGGCAACACCTCTTCTGAGCAAAAGTGGAACCTGTGTATGATGGTGTGTGTTAATTCACGAGTGCATTCACACGCATAGGTAGAAATAAAACGTTTCTTTCTTTGCTTTATGCTGACAACGAGTAAAATTCCAGCTGAAACTGAACATATGCGGAAGTATTTTTTTTTTTTTGAAAATTAATGCTATGGCAATGATGCCATTCATAATGATGGTGGGAGCTTATCGATCATTAATTTGCTATCTCAGGATTATCTTCCACTTTTCCTAAGCCCTTTAGTGATGCATTTATTGACTTTAATATGGTTCATTAGTAAAATGCATGCCCGTTCCGCACGGCTTTGGCACCTGGCCACAGCGGGGGGAGTTAAGTTGTGACACTCGGCAACTTGGCACAGTACTCGCTGACCATTTGAATGTCACTGACCAATCCGACACTGTTGTTATCATTCTCTGGAGGGGGTCGGTCGATTCCAAGAATTGTTAAAGCATTCAGAGGATCACTATCCGGTGGTTTCATGTTCTGACAACATCTTAAATGGAAATATATTCTTTATCAATACGTACCGTTTGGGATTGCAGTCCTTCAACATTTCATTTTCTTTAACATTATGTAGATCCTGCTACGCCTTTCGTTGGATCGTGATGTAGGTACCGCATCTTTCTATTTTTTGAGTCGTTGAATTTACAGCAGTTGTGATGGAAGCTGCCAATTCCTTATAATTCTAGATAGAGCTGGAATTAGGGCGTAACAGCTTTTGTAAACAATGAATTCTCTCGTCGATTTCTAGCAACTCAAGGCACCCCTACACAAATCAACTTATCCATCGGGTAGGGGAAGTCTTCCCCTATTCGATGGTAATGTTGATTTGCCAGGAAGAGCCATGTCTTTCGAAAAATCATCGAGAGAAGCCATTGTTTACAAAAGCTGTTATGCCCTAATTCCAGCTCTATCTAGAATTGATTGCTTCCAACAGGCAAAAAAGTTAAAAGTTAATTTCACTAGGTATCGATCCGAGTTTCAATCCTTACTTGATCCACCGTGACAAGTTTTTCGGTTTGGAGTTGGAAAACCGCCTGTGATTAGGATACAAATGGCCGTGAAATTTTGTAGAGCAAAACAAAAAACAAAAACGAGTACCGTGTTATGATTATTCGTTTCGGTGACGTTAGGTCATGTACACAGTCACTGTTTATGAGCAGTCTCACTAACACTTGTGCTTTAAAGTTCCACCTTTGATTGACAGAGGCGTTGTTATCAGTGACGTTTGACATTTGTATGGGAGAAGGGAACAGTTGCCAGTCTTCTTGATTTGTTGTCTTCGAATATACGCAATCGTAAAACACGTCTGACTATGACTAGTAGTACAGATAGAATTAATATTTATTCCGTACACATTTAAGGCTTAGTATAACAACAAGAATCACGGACACTACAATCACCAATAACGGTGGGGATTAGCATTTTTTTCTCCTTTATTAGAGAGATTTTTAGCCTAAGGCTAGTTCATCTCTTTTTGTGGGGATTAGCAGAGGAATACAATAAATCGCGCCTCTCTAAGAAACAACATACTAAAGGTCGCGAAAAATGCTTGAAATCTCAAGTTCTGAAACTTCACTTGATAAGATTTTCGATACAAAAAAAAAACATTAGGGTAGTTAGCAGAACAAAAATAAAAAAATGTAAACATTGATCTTCATCTGTGAAAAATTATAGTAACATACCTAGATGGAATAACATTCAATGTGTTTTTATGTTACTTCATACGCGAAGTTAGCGGTTTTCAGAGTTAGTTGGAAATGCTAACATGAAGCTTTAGTGTTATAATTTATTAGCTAGAGAATGATCTTTAGAAGAGGGTAGGTGGATAGTTCAATTCAATATTCAATTTGCAGACTGCCGCACTCAAACGGAACTATCCACCTACCCTCTTCTAAAGATCATGCTCTAGCTTATAAATTATCAAACTAAAGCTTCATGTTAGCATTTCCAACCAACTCTGGAGTTGGAATAAATTAGTGCGATTACATTTGCAAACATTACCATCTTAGCGAAAGTCTATGGAATCGAAGAAATATATTGTTGTGCTCAGAGTTCAGTTGATGTATAGTAACAAATTGCTGCCAAATTTAGCTTTTTAATTTGGAAAAGTTATACATCTCCTGCCAGTTCAGTCTATACCGATTTGCATAAATTTGAAGTTTTCTTGAATTTGGAATTAAAGTTACGCTTCGACATATTTACAACAAAAATTTCCCCTTCCTTTTCTTTTCAGATTGATGGTACTGGCAGAACTCTTCAGCCTGGTGCTCTACATATTCTCATTAGCCGTATTGCACGAGTACTTCGGTAAGTCACACTCTACTCTATATTTTTTTTCAAACAGTAAAACATTGCATTTTTCCTTCCCCATTCCACTCGCTCACGCCTAGACTGGGAGTTTATCTGGTCGTGGGAATTCCTGTGGAAGGTCCTAGTGATAACACTCGTCTCGTGTCTACCGTTGTACATTTTGAAATTCCTGCGGAAGAAATTCTCGCCGCCGTCATATTCTAAGCTGACTTAAGCTGTGGGCTTTGCGCAGAATAACAACAGATTAAGAAAATACGCTTCTGACACACAAAATTTTTACTCTCGATTTACACCAAAAGAAGCCAACAATGGAACACATATAGCTATTATGCCGGGTGGTTTTCACTACTATATCACTGATCATTTATTCGCGATTTTAGTCAATTTGTTCCCGTACGATTGTTAGACAAATTTTATTTTCGATTGTGACACAGAAAAATCCTCATCGGGGAAATGCCTAAATGTTAAACTTCTTAATGTTGTGTATTTTCGTTTGGTCCACATCGTCAGTATATTCTGATTATTAAATAGTTTCGTTCGATGATTTGTGATTTGTCCTTAAGAAATAATAATCGTGATATTTTAAACAACTGCATTAAACTAAGTAGTTTCATTCATGTTCTTACAAAAAAAAAATCATTTTTTTTTTCTCAATCACCAAAAGTACGCATAACTTTTATACAATCAGGAAAAATCAGAGAAAATAGAGGAGAGAAAAAAATTTGAAGTCGATTTCCAGGTGAAGCAACTAACATTAATTCAACATAGTTAATTATGAATCCAACAAATCGTTAACCTAGTGTTTTATAAGAATGAAAACGATCAATATTTATTCGTGTGACGTTGAAGAAAGCATTTCAGTTAGAAAAGCTTACCGACAGGTGTGAACCAATCGGTAGGAGGTTTGTCGAGCAGCGAAAACGAACTTATGAATGACAGAGAATAGACTACTGACTATTATTAACTGGAAAATAACAATAAAGAAAACTTTTACTGAATCAATTTATTAAAATACTGTGCTAGAGTTACTGTTTTTACTTTTATCCGAACATACATTGTATACATAGGTTGTTTTTCTTCTTGTTGATATTGTGGATGTCCCTAATTTAACCGGAACGTTGCGGTAGATCAGTATTTTTTTTGCTACTTGAGACCTTTTCAAGTCACTATCATGTGAAAACCACAACATAACGTGCGATCATTTTTTTACCTCTGTTCGGGACCTAACACCACTGCGACCAGTAATTTGATCTATTGTAGTATATCCCGTGTCCTTAGTTTAGTGCATGTCGTATAACTTCAGCACTATTGAGAAATGATGAAGTATTCGATTTTTTTACAGTTGTCATTTTCGTATTTATCGCAAGGATCCGACTCTAATTGAAAGGTCCCGCTATTTATACCCTTCGGAGTGTTAAAACACCCTCCAAAGGCGCGCCCTTTGTCAGTCAAAATTGGATTCCTTAGCAACAAAATTAAGGAATGACACCGATAATGACCATGCATCAGAACCCTAGTCTTAACCACTTCAAACTAGAGATCAACGAATAGAAGATTAGGAATCACATAGATGAAGACTAACTAACTCATTTTTTTCTTGTTTCAAGATCATCCTCGGTGGGCAAAGCCGAGTCTTGTCACTATCAACAAGGCATAAAAAGTAACAAGGACTAAGATGTGTTTCTTGGATTACTGAAAAATCCTGTTCCCCTAGTTTGAAGTAGTTAGGACTAGGAATCGATGGTAGATCTTACATCCCGTAACGTGTCACGAAAAGGTGATCTACCCACGTTGCATCCACTAACATACCGTCGTAATTTCGCACACTTCAAGATCAACAATTGAAAAGGCCTCAACTCCGCGAAACGAGCTGGACTTCGTGTATTCAAGGTCCGGAAGGCACCGAACCGGCGTGATCAACAAAACACGGCGGCCAAATCCCGCGCAAGGAAGCTGTATCGAGAGTGGTTAACGAAACCGATGTGTGTGGTTATGGATGACGAAACCTACATTAAGGCAGACGCAAAGCAGATACCGGGGCTGGAGTTCTACGTTGCCAAATCACGGTTTGATGTTCCGGAAGACATAAGGAAGAAGAAAGTGGACAAATTCGCCAAAAAATACTTGCTCTGACAGGCCATATGCCAATGCGGTAAACTGAGTAAACCGTACATCACAATGGGTACCATCAACAGCGAAATTTACCGCACCGAGTGCCTCCAGAAGCGTCGGTTGCCCTTCCTGCGGTCCCACGGAGGCAAGACATTATTTTGGCTGGACCTGGCATCATGCCATTACGCGCGATCGACGTTGGATTGGTACAGAGACAATAATGTTGTTTTTGTACCAAAAACCGCCAACCCCCCAAATTCACCAGAGATTCTTCCGGTGGAAAGATTTTGGGCCATAATGAAGGCCAAAGTTCAAAAATCGTCCAACGTGCTTAAGAACGAGCTGGAGTTGAAGAAAGAATGGATGAAAGTGACCAAAAAGGTCGGCTCCACCATTGCACAAAATGTAATGAGGGGTCTTAAGGGAAAGGTGCGGGCTTTCAGCGATGGAAAGGAAATTGAATAAAGTAATTATGCCGAAACATAATCCATATGTATTAGTTCATTCCCTAAAAGTTTCTAGAAAATCCGACTTAAAATAAATTTTTGGCGAACACTTTTGTCTGGTGCATTTTTTTTGAGTACAGGCCTTATTATGGATGAAAAAGAGAACCCATATTTGGTAGCCTCTCGCGAGCGCAATTCAAAAGATATTAATAATAAACTAATCTAGAACTGGGTTCAAACTTGTAACATTTTCTAAGACTGATCATGATTAATCTAGTATGAATAATGAGAATTGTATGAAGAAAAGACGATCCCAAAAGAAAGTTCCCTAGCAATAAAACTATTACTCTGTGGTAATCTGAGCTATTTCAAAATGGGAATCCACGAACAACATACTCAGAAACTATACCCGATCTCAACAAACTCTACAGAAATCAAAACAGCTGAACTACTCGGTAAGATTTTGGCATTTCTATTTAATTGTATAAATCGAGCTCTTTTCAATAATTGCAACATGTGAATAATGCAGAACAAGTCCCTCCGCGCTCTGCCTCTGCTAACCCAACCCCCTAAAACTGATATAGAGAGTATAAAGTAAAATATCCACCTGCACTGTATTGTCCATTCAGAAATCATTACACCCTAAACCACTTACTTGGCCAGACTTCAGTATCAACCGGTAGGCAGTGCACTCTACACTCCAAGTTCCCTTTGTTTCACATTCATCTCAAATTTCATACTTTACCCATTGAGTGTTGATTAATCACAATACAATGTGTGACCGAACGCGGACTTGAGGTTACAAGACTATTATATAATCTAGGTCCTTTTTAGGATTATATTTAAAAAATCCAATTTTGGCTAATGTGCACCGAAAATAAATAAAACTACTTTATGACTTACAGTGTAATGAATGAGCGTTTGTTTCGGGATCATTTTAGTGTTAGAGTTATGTTAGTTTTGATCCGTAATCAGTCTTGCCGGCCAATCCAACATAAGTTGTAGGTAGCGGGTGTTAGATCATGCGACACTGTAACTACTACTATGTTAGATGTATGATTTGTCAAGTTGTATAAACTCAATGTTTCAATTGAGGTAAACTATTTATCTTATAATTACAAAAGCAAACTTAAAACAACAATTATATGCAAATGTAAAATAAAACTTGACAAATCATCGTCAATCCCCTTATTCTTGGGCAGGGCCTGATTATGTGAATCTGATTTTGATCAGTGAACGGGCACCATATGGTACATTCTCTCACTATGAACGTGTCATTTCTAGCCTTGCTGAACTATTTAATAAATGCAAACCATAACATGGGTTACGCTCCCCCTAATCGGGCCTTCCGCATCCTATCTCTGTCTGATCTCAAATACCAAATGCCAATGGTTTGTATCAATATATAAATTAAACCCATACCCCACTCACTTGGCCAGGCTTCAGAATCGTCCAGTGGGCAGTGCGCTCTACACTCCAAGTTCCCTTTCTTTCACCCCAAATTTTATATTTTACCCCTAGTGCTGATTAATCACAATGAAACATTGTGACAGAGCACGGACTTGAGGTTACTATAGTATTAAATAATCTAGGTCCTTATACCTGAAAAATCCAAATCTGGCCAACGCCCACCAACAATTGAAGAGGCCTCAACTCCCTTTTGCAAACAAACCTTGTAAGGCCATTTTGTCGCAAACCAAAATCCGCCAACGCAAACCAATAAAATCCCCTACCGATTGTGTTTTAGGTTTGCGAATGTAGGTTTCGGTTTGCGAGAAAATGGCCTTACAAGGTTTGTTTGCAAAATTGAGTTGAGGTCTTTTTAACACTCCGAATACGATGCCTCCGAAAAACGTGTAACGGCAAGTTTGCAATGTCATAACTTTGCCATTTATTAATGAATTTCAAAAATTTGGGTACCTTTAGAATTCCTAGGGTTTGTAGATGATTTTGATTGCAAAAAGATTGAAAATAGAGTCGTTTACTTTTTAAAAGGCGAAAAGAGTTGTTACACGTTTTTTTGAAAAGTGTGTTTGTAGGGTTTTGCAAGTAGCGCAAGATCTGTAATTTAGATTAATGGGCACAAATCTGCACAATTAGCCAGAAAACAGTCATAGTTCCTATATATGGATCCTGGAGACAACGGAACGGTCGTCAAAAAATCCGGAACATCCGTAAAAGTGGTCAATCCATGAACCTGACCCTAGAGCTCTGCGGTTTTTTTTGAAAACATTAGGAACTGTGATATAAAAAAATATTTGGGGTCGTGACATAAACATGTACCTGTATGGCCATGAGACCGTCCTCCGGAAGATCCCGAACATCCGTAAAAGTGGACAATCCATGAAACTGATCCTAGAGCTCCGCGTTTTTTTAACATTAGGATCTGTGATATAAGAATGAATTTGGGACATGGACCCAGATGGCCATCGGACCGTCCAGCGAAAGATCCGGAACATCCGTAAAAGTAGTAAATCCACGATCCTGATCCTAGAGCTCCGTGGTTTTCTTGAAAACGTTAGGAACTGTGATATTAGAATGAATTTGGGATCGTGACATAAACATGAACCCAGATGGCCATCGGAAGATCCGAAAAATCCGTAAAAGTGGTCAATGTATGGAACTGATCCTAAATATTTACGGATTTTTCGGATCTTCCGGAGGACGGTCCGATGGCCATCTGGGTTCATGTTTATGTCACGATCCCAAATTCATTCTAATATCACAGTTCCTAATGTTTATAAAAAAACGCGGAGTTTTAGGATCAGGATCGTAGATTTACTACTTTTACGGATGTTCCGTATCTTCCGCTGGACGGTCCGATGGCCATCTCGGTCCATGACACAAATTCATTCTTATATCACAGATCCTAATGTTAAAAAAACGCGGAGCTCTAGGATCAGTTTCATGGATTGTCCTTTTTTACGGATGTTCCGGATCTTCCGGAGGACGGTCCCATGGCCATCCAGGTACATATTTATGTCACGACCCCAAATATTTTTTTATATCACAGTTTCTAATGTTTTCAAAAAAAAAAAACGCAGGGCTCTAGGATCAGGTTCATGGATTGATCACTTTTACGGATGTTCCGGATTTTTTGAGGACCGTTCCGTTGTCTCCAGAATCCATATATAGGAACCATGACTGTTTTCTGACTAATTGTGAACATTTGTGCCCATTAATCTGAATTACAGATCTTGCGCCACTTGCAAAACCCTACAAACAAACCTTTCAAAAAAACGTGTAACAACTCTTTTTGCTTTTTAAAAAGTAGGCGACTCTATTTTCAATCTTTTTGCAATCAAATTCATCGACATACCCTAGGAATTCAAAAGTTACCAAAATTTTTGAAATTCATTAAGAAATGGCTAAGTTATGACATTGCAAACTTGCCGTTACACGTTTTTCGGAGGCTTCGTAGTCCGCGTAAAGTTTTTTACCCACCGTATTCGGAGTGTTAATTGTTGGTCTTGACTTTATGAATTTTAATCCTGCAGATTGAGTGACGTGAGCAGGATAGCTTCCACTCACTTCACCATATTTTTTTTCGGTATACCGTATGCATGATAATGCTTGCATCATCGTACAAATAAGGTTCCCGTTTCACCTGTGCATACAATGCCTTGGTTTTCTTTGCATGCACGTAACCTATACCTTATACCGTAGTAGGCTGTGTATAAAAGAAAATGATTTACTTATGTCGTTTTCGTTTTTGCGGTGTAGCTACACCGGTGCTACACTGCCGTACACCGAAATATTTTAGGGTGTAGATATAGGATGCACCTTTGTTTACAAACAAATGATGTTGAGCTGTCAAAGGCTCGCGCTTAATCCTGCTTACACTACACCAGTGCTACACCGCAAAAACGAAAACGGCATTAGTCAAAAGGGTTTTAGACCGAGAAAAGAAAGGACAACTATCCGCGAAGGTGGCCACAGGTCGTCCGAGGTCAGCTCGGGTTCCGAGGGTTATCGCTGCTATCAAAAGGAAGATTAGCCGGCGCCGGTGGTGTAGTGGTAAGCGTGACTGCTTTCTAACATCCCAATGGATCTAGGTTCAATCCCAGCCGAGGTCGGTGGGATTTTTCTGAGGCATAAAAATCTCTGGTCACGTCTTCCTTCGGAAGGGAAGTAAAGCCGTTGGTCCCGGCCCATGTGTGTTGAATGGGTGCGATATCCTACGCCGGTGTGGAAGCTGCCTTCCTGCACATTCGATTGCCGTCAATGGATGGCAATCGATGTCCGTCGGTGATTGGCACTAGATTGCGGAACAGAGACCGACGTTAATTAAAGAAATGAATGATGATGATGATGAAAAGGAAGATTCGGGTGAATCCAGTGCGTTCAATAAGGAAAATGGCAAAGGAACACGGGATCAGTGATTTTACGGCACGGAAGATCGTAAAGAAAGATTGCGGGGCGAAGTCGAGGGCACGGAAAAAACTCACATGATTACCAACCGAATCCGGGAGCTACGAGTCGAACGATGCAAGAAAATCTTGAACTTCCTTAAGCGAAAAAATCCGGTAATCCTGTTCGCCGACGAGAGCATGTTTACCGTCGATCAAGTATCAAATTCCAGAACTGATAGGTATATAAGTTCTCTTCCGGTAAAAGACGTGGCCGACGAGCACAAGAACGTGTATCTGACCAAGCGTTATCTGCTAGCGTTATGGTGTTTGGATTGGTGGCTTCCGATAGCAAAAAATGGACCCGGTGTTCATTCCAGAAAGCGACAAGGTCAACACGGAGGTCTACATCGGGATTTTAAGTAAGTATGTTCTTCCGTGTATCAAAGAACAGTACGGTCCGAAGCCAAATGTTGTATTTCAACAAGATGGGGCTCCGTGTCACACCTCGAACCGCACTCAGAAGTGGTTGCAGGAACATCTTTCGTTCTGGGCGAAGGATGTGTGGCCGCCATCCAGCCCCGATCTTAATGATGATGATGATGATGATGGTCCCACCTCTTACCCCTACAAAGGTTTGAGCTGGACGATTTATCTTTAAGATAATTGAATATGACATTTTAACCAGGTTGGCAAACAAAATCGAACTGGTTTCAGTTACAGATATAGATTCCCTCTAAAGTTTACAGTTGCTTCACAGCGATATAAATGTGGAAAAGCTCAGGCGTCCACCTCTTAGTTCACCTTTTTGTCCACCTAAAATATTCATAAGTATTACAAGCAATCAAGAGTTAATGAACAATCAACAAAGCATCCTATTACACTAGTAACCCCGCAATCTGATGCTATCATAATTTTCAGCAATGTCAGGAATGCTCACGAACCCCTAACATTTGCCAGAAAACTTACTACTAACTCAAGGTATCTTTCAAATAAGCTTCAAAATTGCATTTTTTTTTTTATCAAATGTTAAATTCAGTCCTCTATATCCGTAATACGCGCGCGAGGCTCAAACCTTTGTAGACTCCTTTTTTTTTAAATTAATCTACTATAAAATCATATATTAAAAATCCATCATCACCCTCGTGGCGAACAGAAATGGTTTTTGCAGTGCTACAATAATTATTAAAAAGTCGTTATGACAGCTATCCATATAAAATAATCCGTTAGAGATAACTTCGTCAAGATACATAATTTGTCAATTCATAAAAAAAATCACTGGATAACTGTTCAAAAGACAGTTTTAACGTGTGAAATGCAGTGTCTCTTAAATTCTGTAAGTGTTGCTAAACGTTTGAACAGTAATCCGCTGGATTACTCAATATGGCGCGTCATGAAGGCCAAGGCCTGTTCTAAACGCCACCCGAGTACAGCAAGCCTCAGACAAACATTGACCCGTACCTGGAGAGAAATGGATCCAGACTACATTATTAGAACCTGCCGTGCATTCCGGAAGCATGTGGAGGCCGTAATTGCAGCAGCAACCAGTGCCCTGTGGTTATGCTCCAAAACTGTTGGTAGAAAATGGGGTTTGAAACCAACAATGACAATGTGGGTTTACACATCAGTAATCCGTCCAAAAGTAAGTTATGGTTCGTTAGTGTGGTGGCCAAAAACGAAAGAGGCTACCGCACAGAGGAAGCTGGCAAAACTACAACGTCTAGCATGTATTGCTATAACGGGTGCGATGCGTAGCACCCCATCAAAAGCGTTAAATGCAATTCTCAATCTACTGCCCTTGCATGAATACGTGCAACTAGAAGCGGAAATAAGTGCTCTAAGGCTCAAAAGGTTTAAAAAAAAGTCATGCCTGGTGACCTGGTTGATCACCTAAGCATTTTACAATACTTCCAAAGAGGACCAGTGATGAGTATGAATGGAGACTGGATGAAACCAGAGGACAATTATGACACTCCCTTCAACGTATGTGAAATGTTGCGTTCGGAATGGGAAGTCGGTGGTCCTAGCGTTCGTCAAGGCTCACAAACAGGTGCAGGAATGTTTGGCCCTGGGACAAATATTTCAGTAGCGATGGGACATTGTCCAACAGTGTTTCAAGCAGAAATCGTGGCCATACTTGAATGTGTAAGTCTTTGCCTAAGGAGAAAATATAGATGTGCAAATATCTGTTTTTTTCTGACAGTCAAGCAGCACTAAAAGCTTTTTTCTGACAGTCAAGCAGCACTATTATGCAATCATTAGTTGTAATTGGAAAATCAAAGTTAGTTCCCGTGGAGAATAGAAAAAAACTATGAAAGTGATGATGATTTCAACATTTTGCACGGTGAGGTATACGATTGTAATCTTAAAATCTATATACACTCATCTCTCCATAACTCGATATTGAAGGGACCATCGAGTAATTATCGACGTATAGAATTTTAAATATTTTTTTTTGTTCGTGGTTAATTTTAAGAATAATCCCAAATTATTCATTCTATCGATATGAATTGGAAAAATGGTTTAGGCATCCATTTACGGAAGTTATGAGTTATGAATTCCAATTTAGCCAATATGAATAAAAACACGCACATAGGACTGCCAATTCGTGACATTTAATTTGTCGCATGAAAGGGGGATTGATAGATTGTGGCCATTTGCCCCAATGTCTCCCAAAAAATTGCTGCATGTGTATGCAGTTCAATATGACCAAAAATGAATGAGATTTGATCTACCGCATAGCCTGTTTTTGATCACTTCTTTGGCACTATCTGGCACTATCGCCATGAGTAAGGGATGCTAGAAGACATGTCATCATTCTGAAGAAATTTAAAATCCCGAAGACATTTCATGTTTTGTGAAGTCTTTTTATTCTAATCCTTAGGAACATGGATTTTCGGACATCAAAATTATACATAACTTTATCGGTACATGACATGTGCTGTGAGTAGAAAATGATCGATCATTTGAACCTGTTCAAAACAGACATTTGTTGACAGTTTATTTTTACAAAAAAAAATCTTCTTAGTAAAATGGCAGCAATTAGAAGTAATACTATACTATTTCGTTGAAACAATTGAATATTCTCTTTCATACACATCAATTGTCTTGTGTATTCTTCGTAATCCAAGGCATGAACGCTGTAACTCGACTGTATACCCCAGGGTATTGACCTTTCCCGCATCCGATACCCCAAGAAACGATACCGACCTGAGTCCATCGACCGCTGTTGACCATTAACGGCCCGCCTGAATCTCCCTACGGTGTTGAAGAAGCGTGTCAGAAATGAAATATTCACATTGTCATCACGGATGAAATGAAACTTACGCTACATGAGTCCTTTGCTGCCTGTCCAGCGCACAACATTGTTTCAATGATACCTCCGGGAGCGGCCGCGCCATATTTCCTGCTGCAGTCGGTATTGGACCAGATAGGGAGGTTCACTTCCTGTAAAATAGATGGTTGAGGTCCATCTAAAGAGCAAAACTTTCTGTAATCATTCTTTAATTAAGTCCTAATCAAACTTACTTTCTTGCAAGCTTCCCCAACCAATAACGGTTGCTGTTGCTCCTCTGACCAGAGAGCCGCTGTCGCCTGCCGGTAGGCAAATAGGTCTAACCGATTTCGAGAATTGAACCGGTTGATCCATGGTTAGCACGGCAACGTCGTTATACTAGAATGAAAGATTATTGAAAGTAATTGTTCATGGTTTCATTCGTGTTTCCCAGCGAATCTTACCAATGTTCGCGAATCGAAGCCACGGTGTCGTACCAATCGTTTGACGCGTCGTTCCACGTGTTGCACCTCGGTGTTAATTCGGATATTGTGGTCACCCAGCTTTACGGACAATCGTGAAACGTCCAGGGAGGTCATGCTAAAAACGAAATTTCACAAGACGAGAGAATCTGTTACTAGGAACACTTATTATAACTTGTCGAAGCTTCATTGGACCTACTGAGCTACACAGTGAGCTGCCGTAAGGATGTGGATGTTGTCGATCAGTGATCCTCCACAAAATTGTCTGCCATTGTTGAACAGGGCAGCGATCCACGGCCACTCGTTTGGATCAGCATTGTGACCACCGACGATTCGTTCCGTATCCTGCGCAAAGGAAGACAATTTCAGAGAATCGGGGTTAGGTCTATAAGGCACATGGGTACATTGGCCGAATGTGGAACAGTTGAAAAATGCTCTTAGGAATTGATTTGGGCATCTTGGACATTAAGGGGTTAGGGAGCATCCATTAAGTTCGTCGCGCTCCAAGTGTGGGTAGATCACCTTTTCGTGGTACGTTACGGGATGTAAGATCTACCACATCGAGTTTTGGCCCGAAGCTCTTATTGTTGACGGTTATGAACCTCGGTTTTGAGATTGGATATAAGGTTCAGGGTTCCGATGCATGGTCAAATATCAGTATCATCGCTTGTTTTTCTCACTAAGAAGACCTATTTTGATTGCTGAGAGGTTGCGTATTTGAAGAGATCACAGAATTTTTCAAATGATGCCGAACATCACAATTGAATGAGGATTCATGTAAGACCCATTTTGATTGATGGGAGAGCGCGTCTTTGGAAAGGTCCCAGAACTCTTCAATTGATACGGAACATCACAATTGAATGAAGATTCATGTAAGATATTTTTTGATTGATGAAAGAGCGCGTCTTTGAAAAGGTCGTTTCGAATATTGCGAAACATCATAATTGAATTAGTCTTCTTGTGAGAAAAGCAAGTATGTACGATTTAACTGTATCGAAAACGAATAGCTCTTTACTAACGAGGTACTACGACATGTACTAAACAAAGAACACGGACATATCACAAAAGATCAATGTATTGGTCCCAGTGACTATTCCTCTCCTTGTTAATCTGCTTAATGCTATTGGTCTGTTTGCGTTTTCTTATTGAAGTTCAAGACTAAATAGGAAGATTTATTCTACGACTATGAAGGTTAGTTGCCTCACTAAGCGGATACCCCGCATCCTAATTTGTTAATCTACTTAATGTTATTAAACTTTCTGATGTTTCTTATTTAAGTTCATTTGATGATTATGATATCTCATTAGTCTAGTTTAATAAATAATAATAATTGAAATCTCTAATTCACCTAATCAATCATAACCCATGCTTTATTAAGTACCTGCACTTGTGCTTGTAATCTAAAATTAAACGTGTTTCAAGTACTTTTGACTTTGACCTATATTTATTATATCTTAGTTCGACCCAGGTCTAAAATGCTCCACTTCGAAGTTAGTTTCGTAGCTGATTTTTAAATTATATAGGGTATATGATCCAACTACGCTCACACGTTTCCACTATGTCGCACCACAAAAATGCGTATGGGTATGTCACAATAGAAGCACGCCACAGTGAAAATCCCGAGCCATAGTTCAAACATTTATCCCAAATCAAAATGAAGCACATATAAGATTAGTTACAATACCATGTACAAAAATGATGTTTAACATTGTTTCCTTAGTAATACTTCAATGAAAACAACAATGAAAGCTTGTCACGCAAATAGAAGGAGCACCGTTGGGCACTTTCTGAAATATTTCGATAGTATAATTCCCTTTCAAACCCAAATAAATCTATACGTGTAAATATAAATAAAATAAGAGTGATTTGCGGAAAAACCCGCAGTATCGCACCCAACGTCAATGCCTATACGTAAGCGTACTACGACACGGCTTTCAAACAAAGGAGTAACAAGTGTGATACTATCACTGCTGGACTAGATCTTTGGTTTTCTCATGCAGTGGTTCATCAGAGAGGGGAAGCTTAGTAATCCCCATCGCCTGCCCATGGCGCCATTTTTTCGCGGCATGAACCAGCAACGCCGGACATAAACCAACCGTCTCCAACGCTCCACTATAAAGCATGAAATTAAGCCTGCCCACCAGCAACAAGGTGCAAAAACTAACCAAGGGGAGGTAATGGCATATTAATAGCTTATTCTGCTACCATATCAAAGTTAGCTTGTACTCATGATACCAAACTATGATAACAACAGCAGATTTGATAACATAATAAAATATTGATAGTAAAATTTGATATTATTTTGCTCTGGTATGGCTATTCCACTCTACCTGGATTATGACCCACGCTGCCCAATCCTACGCTACAACTCACCGGATTTCCATTTTTCATTCCGCATCCCGCATTGATGACTCCTGCTCCACCACCCGGACTTCCCACTGGCCTTGCAGTGGTGACTTCGACCGTTGGCATCGGGGGATGAGTGACAATTGGTGGAGGCCAAACCATAGGGGGTTTCGTTGGTTGATTGACCTCCGTCGGTGGTCTCGGTTTCGTAGGCCATGTTGTGCTGCCAGGTCTATTCGTCGGTCTTGTGGTTGGCTTAGTTGGCGATTCGGTGAAAGAAGCAACAGTCGACGTGAAAGAGGGTGGATGCGTGGCCGCTGTATGATCTGGAGGATGGGTCGGAACAGGTGGTGGCCAACTGGGGTAGTTGTTATTCTTGGGTGGTTTCTTCTGAGTGTCTCCAGTTATTTCGATACCACTTTCGACTACGGGAGGTACAGCTATTGATTCGGTGGTTGTTTCCGTGGAAGGAAAAGGTGTGATAGGGTTTGTGCAACATACTCCGAATGCTTGTCTGCCCTGGTCGTTAAAGTAACTACAAGTATCGTAGTTTCCAAGGACCCAAGATTCCCACACGCTCAGATCAGGAACCTTGAAATAAGGATAACATTTCCTAAACGATGTACAGAAGCCAAGATGTCCCTTCGATGTCAGACAGGGGCTTCCGTCGCCCAGTGCCTGCGCCCATGTGGTAGTACGCGTACTTAGCCATATATGTCGCGGTTGCCGTGGTTTTAGTTCGCTAGCTGTAAGGTAATAGAATAAGCACAAAAACAGCGGATTAAATCACACACAATTACCATCCAGAACATGTCATAAATCAACGTCGTGTTTGAATGAATCATTTAGAGACATCAATCTCACCTCCCTCTCATAAAAAATTGAACTGCTAAGAATTTGGAGTTCATTCACTCCTCCGTACTTTGGCGTTCGTCTGGAATTACACTCTGAATAAATTTGCATATCAAACAGGGCCTGTTTTTGTTCTCATTTTGCGGTTCACGGGAAAATGTGTGTTAAGTAGATTGAGCGCGATCGGGATCGTGGAACGGTTGATCGAATGTCGTGTTTAAAAATAACCCACAAAGGATTTGGTTGCTCTCTCTGATCGGTGAAATGTTGTGTTATTGGATTTCAATCGAGTTTGGGTTTAACCGCTATAAAATTGCGCATGTTTTGCGTCTTATTTTAAAGTGAAACCAATCCACCTGCATCGGTTGAAAACAACGTACATCACGACTCGACGTAAACGAATCAATCATATGTTTGGTACGATAGTTTAGTTCATAAATTACTTAACAAAGTTTACTAGGATGCTCCTAGTGAATCCATTTTTTTTTGCCTTCATCCATATGACGTTTGGATGTGTTTAGACAGAATTAAAACTCGTATGAATGAGCTAGAATCAACAATTTGTAATTCGGTATCAAACCTAACGCACACTTAATCATGATTTCCCTGTTCGGTTTTTTTTACAGTTTTTACCGAACATTCAGCTATTCTCAATGATGATCAGTAGCTTTTGCTACAAGCTACTGAATGCGGTAATAACAAGTACTGAACTTACCGTAAAATAACAATAAAATAGTGTACCGAGTTTTCAGTATTCGTAACGTTTTACTGGAGCAGTCATCAATCGAAATTCCAAAATTGCTGATCCTAACAGTAAAGCAAATTACTTGTGTCATCTTCCTCCATTCCACCTCGTGCAGTTGACGTCGTAAATCTTTGCGAGAAAACACGAAACATTTGTGAAAATAAGTGAATTCAACATATGAGTTCAGAAACTGCCACGAAATTTGCAGTTTCTGCACTCCTGCATCGGCTTCCAGATGTTCGACTGATTTTGAAGAAATTTGATTTACCAAATTTCCTGTTATAGAGCTCCAGGTTTAGGCACGCAATCTGGCACATCAAAAGAGCCACCAGCCAGCCAAACCACCCAGAAGCGCTGACCGCTCAACTCCCGCCACTAAACATGTAAAACTTAGTCCCCAAATAAAAATCGTTGTGAATTCGAAATATTTTCATCAAATGAACCCAAACAAATCACTAACTACCAACAATTAAACTTTTTTGATGAAATTAAAAATACTAAAAATTCAGCAAAAAAAATGGTAAAACATTAATTAGGTACTTAAAAAGACAGAAAATCTTTACAAAATAAATTAAACGGTAATTATTGACAGTTCAGGGATTCTGCGATTTACGGAGTTTTCAATTAAAGCAAAACTACTGGATTGATTATTGAAAATTCAGCTGTTTAAAAACCCAGTAAAATTTTACTGCCTTCGGTAATCTAAACTCAAACCTCATTCATTGAGCCTCTCTGCGAGAAAAAAAGTTAACGCAAAAATATAAATTAATAAATTTTAGAACTTGAAAACTCACCGGTGATTTTTGCGACGTTTAAAATTGCAAGGCAAAACTCATAGGCGCATAAACTCATGCATGAGATTTGAGTTTTAGAGTTTTCTGAACACTGGTCTGTGTGTATGGAATTGTAAATTAATTCGGAGGTCATCTTTGGTAGTAACATTCAATTTTTTGTTCAAACCCGTTCGAAAAAGAGAAGTCATCTGTGGGTGTGTGCTTAGTATGACGGAAATTATATCTAAAGGCCCAAGCGAAATTTTAACTTTTTTTTTGCATTTATGTAGGGTAAATTATGGCTTCGGCACCCATTGACTGTTTTCGGCAACCGAAATTGAAACGTTTATTTAACTGTATTTTCCCATCAAAACTCTTCGCTGAATGTATTAAGCCGATTCCTTACCTTTTCAGTTTCAATCAGATTACATTTTTACGACTGTGAATTCCTGTTATACCATATTTTTCTTTAAATGAAATATACATTCTACAAAATACGGCTGATTTCGAGTTGCCGATAATAGAACAGCTGGTTAACACGCAGTTCAAATGGAAAGGGTGCCGAAGAAAAAGAGACTGCCGACAATAGTCACTCTCACCTGAGAAGTTTGGAGCGTTGTAAAAACATGTTCAACCCATTTTGATCAATTCTGTCGATTGGAATTGGTAGAACAGCAAGCAGCAGATAAATGTCAACAAACAAACCTGTCATGTATGTGTGTGACGCTGAGAAATCACTAATAGAAGTTCGGATGCTGCTTAGATTGACGAGAATACGTAAACTCCCCTATTCAGTCGTCAAGAAACTCGAATTTAGACCATTAATTCAATCAAATAACGTTCGCATTTAAAAAAAAATGGACAAAAATTGTCGATTTTTCATGGGTTTACGTTCACCCGCACTGAAAAAACTACCCATGCGCTATCAATCATAGTAACCCATGAGTCAGCAGACAAAATTTGACAGCTCTATCAGGCAAACTCTAACTGTGATGGCAAAAACAGTGAAGCATCTCCGTGTGTGCGCGTTCAAAGAACGGCACCCCGCCGCGTCGAAAACGGACATTGTGCGGTACTTTGTGGACGCCGGATACGCCCGTTCCGGCATCTACAACATCTTGGCACTATTAGACAACAATCAGAGCATCGAAAGAAAGCCCGGTTCCGGACGGCCGACGACCCTGAGCGAAAAGAATCTCCAAAGGATGTTGAAGAGGAAGACCGAGGGAAAAGTGGCTACATCGCTGCGTGCGCTTGGGCGGGAGGTCGGTGCAACCGGCCAAACAGTGAAAAAGTACTTGGCGAATATGAACATACATGTCAGGAAGCGGAAGTCACGTCCACTGGTTTCGGAGCTGCAGACAATGACGCAGCGGCAGCGGCTGAATAAGATGGTCAACTCGTTTTTCCCGGCGAATCGCGACGTGGCGGTGGTGATGGACGAAGAGACCTATCTCACCTGGATAGCAACGACTGACAGGGCACTTCGTATTTTACTTCCCCCACGAAGGAAGTGAGCTCCGAGGTGAAGTTCATTTCACACACCAAGTTCCCCAAGAAGGTGCTGCTGTGGCTGACAATCAGCGAGAAAGGGATGTCAAAGCCGCTTTTCTTTCGCTCCGGACTGGCCGTGAACGGGGAAATTTATAGTACGAAATGCCTGCCGGAAGTTGCGTCGATCATCAAGAAATACCATAAGGGCGAAGACGCGGTGTTCTGGCCGGATCTGGCGTCGGCCCACTACTCGTTGCAGGAGATGGAGCGGCTGAATATCGATGTGGTACCCAAGTTGGTGAACCCGCCCAACGTCCCCCAGCTACGTCCCATCGAGAATTTCTGGGCCAACCTGAAGCGTAAGATCTGCTCCAACAATTTTGTCGCAAAAACTGAGGAGGAATTGATAAATAAAACGAAGAAAGAACTCAAAAACATGCCTACACGCATGTTTTCGTCCGCCATGGCGAATGTTCCGGTAAACTGCCGGAAGGCCACTCGCAAGGGCGTAGAATTTTTTTGCAAGAAAGCTTAAATAATTACCTTCTATGGGAAATTTATCAAAATAAATTATCTGTCTTGGCATTTTTTTTTCATCATGCGAAAAAAGTCCATTTTTTTAATGCAAACGTTATTCTTCATAGGAAATTTTATTCTACGAACGTCACATTGTTGCCAAATGTCGATTTGAAATCCCGTTTTGGCAGCAAAGTGACGTTTGTGGAACAAAATTTCTAAAAATAAATTATTTTTTTCTTGGCATCTTTTTGCAAGAGAATGTCAATCAGGGTTGATGCATATATTATGTCACGCTCTAAAGAGGGGGAAGGGGGTCTAAGATTTTGTGACAAGTAATGCATTAGGTATAGTAAAAACGTCACGAGGGGGGGGGGGTAAATTTCTCCTCGATTTAGCGTGACATAATTAATGCATGGGCCCTTAGGGTTTTTTTAATCCATTTATTTGTCAAGGCTCAATTGTGTTAGCTTTGCGGAGCCGTAATTCTTTGTACATTAACAAGATTTCTTATATCTTAAGCTAGTAAAGCGGGGGCTGAATATTCACGGCTTATTCGAGGATAAGGACAACAATTTTTAAACAGGTTGGACGTGGACTAGGGACAAGGTACATTAGGGTGACTTGTCGTTTTAATCTCCATCGCCGTTGTTGTCGGTGAATTAACGTGGGTGAACCAATGAAGTGGTCTACATCTCGAAAGGTGAACTGACGATTGACGGCACAAATGAAACGAAACACAAAAAAAGGCTATCTTGGGACTGACACTTCAATTGGGAAAACTACTAAACTGAAGACTCCCAAATTCTTAAATCGATCCGTTTTAGGAAATGGCTTTCCACGGGCCATAAGGGAATCCCAAAACTCAGATCTGGCAACACAGTATGAGGTACAAGACCAAACAATATGCTGGACGTTGTGGTAACCGGTTTCACAGTTATAATTATAATTATCGATTGAAATAAAACTGCGGTGCAAATTTACCTACACACTTAGAAATACCTAATCTTACACGTGACGGAAACCATCCTTGACATAAAGGATGAGACGTAAACAAACATGTCATGTAAAATTAAGTGCTCCGAGACTGAAAAGTTCAAAAGTACGTTTGATTGAGCTGAATTTTGCGTCTATTATGACTCAATTTTATGTCAAAATTGACGCTCGTATATGTCAGTCTCAGAGCACCTAAATTTACATCAATTTTTCTAAGTGTGTATGTATATAGCCGTTCCATAGCAAAACGATATACTGGTTCTCAGAATTTCGTAAAAATTGGTAGTTTTGTTCCTTATTGCAAAATATTAGACCCGTATTTTTTTAGGTTGTCATTAGGGTGACCATTTTAATGTTACACAATAAGATT